TGAACATGATTGAACTGAACCTGAACCTGAACTTGACCAAAGTTCGGTTTCAGTTCGGTTCATAGGAACACTAATATTATATATTATATTCACATTTAATTTACATATTTTCTTTTTTAGGGGCATGCATTATAAGTTTATTATTTGAGAATACTCGATTTTTAGAATTTGTACTAATTTATATCATATATTCAGATTTATTTTACTTGGCTACGCATCATATATTGGGCTAAGTCAATCTCTGACAACTTAGGGATTTCTAATGGTAGCAAAGTAGTCTATACCATAACTAGAGAAGAACCAGATAATTCATTTTCAACCCTTTTTAGTGCAATAATTGCTGCATATAATTGGAATTCAAATTTATTTGATACATGGAGATTTTGGCCTATCATCATAATTGGTGTGGTTGGTAATATAGGTTTTATCATCATACTACAAAATGTTATTATTTCATTTATAATATACGTTTAAGTAATATATTATTGCTTAATTACTATACTTTGTAATAATAATAATACTTCTAAATTCATTAAAAGTGCGGCTTTTGAGAATGCTAATAAAAATGGAAAACGTGCTGTTCTCGGCTTTCAAAGTAGATTGATTTATGATTATGCAAATCTTGAAGGTTCTGCTTTTACTTCAAAAAAGAGTGAATTTGTTTCCAAGGCTAAAGATAAGTTTAGGGTGAAGTATATATGTTTTTATAATGAACCATCAATTACAAAAGCATGGAAAGATGAATGTGAAGCTTAGGAATCAACTCCAATGTATTTGGATGCTGAAAGTCAAATACATACTGAACATAATAACAAATTTTTTATTAATAATGATGATATGAAATCTATTTTGGCTTCAGACAATGACGATAAGGTTACACAGAGTTGATTTTTCATTCTGGTTTTCAAAATCTTGGTTGGCAGGTAGATTTTTTTAATATATTGCAAATTTATACCTATGTTCATATCTAAGGCCATGCAAAGTTAGTTTCTTTGTTTTGAGTAGCATGGAATCAGAAAATTTGTCAGTGATTAATTTTTTCTATCAGTCTTAATGGATAATTTCACAGATGAATTTATGGGAAAAATAAATAGCAAAAATAGAATAATTGGCACAAAAAAAAAAAAATTGAAAAAATTGGTTTGGAGTATCATATAAACATGCAAAGCGAAAAATTAACCTTGCATGCCTAAAACAATATTCTAGTAGTTAGCATTAGTAATATTCATTTTTATAAATTATTAAGTTTAGTAAATTGTCTATTTGGTTCTTCGAGCAGTTATTTATTTTATAACCTGGTCACTATATCAAGATCGCAGGGCATAAATCAGTTATACCATGGGCACTATGTGTATAAGCAGGAATTTCATCCACGCTTATACCCAACTGCTCAAGATATAACTATCACTTATTTGGAAGAACCGGGATGATACACAACTGATCTTTCACCCAGTGTTTAGAGCCATGAACTGATTATATGTAACTGTTATGACATAACTAATATAATAAACCTTTATATTGTCAATAAACTTTGTATTGTTAATAAACTTCATATTGTTAATAAACTTTCGTATTTATAATAAACTATAACAATAGGGGGTTTCGGACTTAAGGTTCAGGGCTCTGATTTTGAATTAAATTAGCGACGTATTAATTTTGTAATCAGAGATCTATAAATCCTATTTATTTTTATTTGCAAACTATTTATATAATAACACGTATTATAATTATTTGTGTTATTTGCAAAATACATATCACAAAAACACAGCTATGGATATATAAGCAAACATCTTGATTTACAACACTCAGGCTGGAGTAGAATTGAACTATTTGCACTTATATGTAATTCAGTTTCAATTCAAAGTTTGATAGCTAATTAAAAAACACAGTTCAACCTTCTATTAGCTAAATAGATTGTTTCTGATATATTGCCTTTTTCAACTTTTAAAAGCAAAGCATTAATTACTTTGTTACAATATATTAATGCACCAATGAGCTACCTTCATATGAGACAATAAAGTCAATCATGCAAAATTCTTTTTATTTAATAAAAGGAGATATTCAAGCTCTTTTAAGGCAAATTTCTAGTCAAATCTCTATAATATTGGATATTTGGACCTCATGTGTAAATACACCTTTATTACATATTAGAAATAATTAAAACTTTAAAAATATTTTACTTGATATTAGTATGCCTCTACATTCAGATACTGATAAAAATATTGAAATTCAATTAAGATCTATTTTAATCTTTTAATATTAATACAAGAGTATTTGGTGTAACTACTAATAAAAGATTTAATGTAATTTCAGAAAATTGACAATTAAAAATACTTTTATTTATACAAAATAGTCTTATACATATTTTGTATTTTAACTGTCGTATTTCAGAGATAATAAAATAAGCATATAAAAACAAATTATATATATGTGTAGCTAGTAGATAGTTTGCACAATTAAAATATATACTACTGCATTTATGCATGTAGGTTTAAATCTAAATTTTAAATACTGCTCCTAACTCATGTTATGAGTAATTTTAGGAAAAAAAAAACCAAATAGTTATAGAATTGGCTGGATTTAAATATAGTAAGTTATAATTAGGGCTGTTAATCAGGTTTCCTTATGTCAAGAAAATCCCGAGCTGAAGATCACTGTAGATCCTTTCCGATCTGATTCCGGAGCCCAAATATTCACCAATAAGAATCAATTAAATTGAAAATCCTTTTGAAAATTTTGGATTTTTTTAAAATTCTAGCGACGATTTCTCAATAACCATTTGATAAAAACCTTTTTATTTTGATTCTATGTATTTGTTAAATTAAAATAAAAAAACGTCCATTGAATTTGGTTCAGTGGGTGTTGAGAAACCTTCACTAGAAGTTTTGAAAAAATTTGAAATATCCAAAAGAAAATCTAAAATCGGCAAATTTTTTCTTTTTGACATTTAAATGATGATTTCTCAACACCCAGATATTTAAATTCAATGAAAATTTTTTTATTTTGATTCTACCAGTACGTAGGATTAAAATAAAAAAAATTTTACTAAATTTGAATAGACAGGTGTTGAGAAAATCGATTAGAAGCTAAAACAAAAGGTTGGCCACAGCTTTTTTTTTTACAGACATCTAAATTTGAACAAAGATAACTCAACTGTTACCAAATCAAATTCAATTAAAATTTTTTATTTTAATTCTACAATCTCACAGATTAAAATAAAAAAAAATTGAACAAATTTGATTATGTAATGGCCGAGCTATCTTCGTTCAAATTTAAGATATTCATAAAAAAAAGCTACGACCAAATTTTGGTTTAACTTTTAATCGATATTTCTCAATATCTGTCTATTAAATTTCAGTAAAATTTTTTTATTTTAATTCTAAATACTTGCAGAAACAAAATAAAAAAATTCATTGAATTTGGATACATGGGTGTTGAGAAATCATCTTTTAAAGTTTTGTAAAAAAATTTAAGAAAAAGAATGTTGCAATAAAATTATTTACATAAACTTTAATCGACGGTTGCTCAACAGCCATCTATCCAAATTCAATGATTTTTTTTATTTTGTTTCTGCAAGTATGTAGAATTAAAATAAAAAAAATTACTGAAATTGAATAGACAGATGTTGAGAAATATCGATTAAAAGTTTAAAAAAATTTGGCCACAGCTTTCTTTATTACTGATATCTAAATTTGAACAAAGATAACTCGGCCATTACATAATCAATTTCAATCAAAATTTTTTTATTTTAATTCTATAATATCACTGAATTAAAATAAAAAAATTTTGATCGAATTCGATTATATAACAGCCGAGTTATCTTAGTTCAAAGTTTAGATATCTGTAATAAAGAAAGCTGTGACCAAATTTTTTTTAGCTTTTCATCAATGCTTCTCAACATCTGTCTATTCAAATTTGTTAATTTTTTTTATTTTAATCCTAGATACTTGTATAATCAAAATAAAAAAAATTTCATTGAATTTGGATACCTAGGTGATGAGAAATCTTCGTTTAAAATTTCAAAGAGAAAAAATTTGCTGATTTTAACTAGTAAATCATACAAATAGAAAAATCTATTTTAAACGTAATTATTTCGAAAAGTACTGCATAGAATTTTATGATTTTTTTTATTTAAAAGCTTTAAATTTAAATAATATTTTGTATAATTTTTAGGTTTATATCTTATTTATTTGGCTCAATATAAAATTTTAAAAAGTGTCTATAATGCTATACTACCCTACTGTATAATAACTACATTGTAGATCTGTAGCTTAGGCATTTATATCAATTGTTAATTGCTTTAGCAATAATAAGAATATAGAGCAAATTAGGGTAATCTGAGACAATTTAGAAATTTAGAACTTTACAAAACAAATCTTTTTTTTTTTAGAATAATCCGAAAACAAACTTTATTTTCAACAATACAACTATAAAAAATAACCTTAATCAAACTATAAGAATAAAAAAATTCAAGTTCTTTCACTATGAACTATGATAATCATTGATTATTTATTTACAAAACTAGTAAATTTACTATAAGTTATCTTAAATTTAAAGATTACTTTTAAACAATAAGCACAGTTTTTAACACATTACTGCAATAGCATTATAATATTTAAATACAATAGCATTATAGTATTTCAATATAACAGTATTATGACAATGTAGAATTATAGCATTACAGCATTATAGTATTGCAGCATTGTGGCATTATGGCATTGCAGTATTATGGCATTATAGCACAAAGCAATTATGACAAATAATATGGCACATGCTGTAACTATATAAATTTGCCAAATTAATTCTACCACCAACACTAAGTATAACATTATTATCAAAATAATTTTTTTATAAAAATAAAATCTTGCAATTAAGGTTAGAGTTAGAGTAAGGCTAGAAATGGAAAAGAAGCATAGTTTATATCAAAATTTAGCAAAAAATTTTTGTTAAAACATAAAAGATAGTTTTATAGTCAAAATTTTGAGTTATTAATAATTTTTTAAAAAATCTAGTTTTTGGTTTGATTTTATATTACACCTAATCTTAAAATTTGATTGGCTTTAATGGATACAGTTACAGTAACCATGGTTACAAATATATTAATTCATTTTCTAATTATAATTTTATACAAAAAAAAAATTATAACCAAGAAAAAAATTAGTAATATTTAGAAATTTAATTCTTATTATATATAATACTCATTTTTTAAAAAAATAATTAAATTAAAATCTGTATAGTCATACCTTATTTATATCACTCTTTTTTCCAGAGTATTTTTGGTGATATAATTAAGATGAGGATATAACTCAATATATAAACTTATAAAAAAAGAAAATTTAGTCTGCTAAAAAATAGGGATATAACTCAGATTGGAATATAACTCAGTGGAATATAACTTAGGTATAACTATATTCTTTAATTTTTTTTTTTTTATAGGATTACATATATAAGTTATATTATTAATTGGAATGTAAATAGTGAACTATTGAATGAAATAGTAGCTTTTAACAATAAAATCAACAATAGTTTAATACAAACTAAAATATAAGTAAGTACTATAATAGTTTTTACAGTAACTTATATTAAAAATTATAATTTTAATACAAGCATAATCTCTTTAATTATATAGTAACTAAGATACTAACTATCTTAACCTAAACTAATATTGTGGTCTGGTTACCAAAATAGTAAGAATTTTCATATAATAATTTTAGTACAAGTAAACTTAACCACACTGAAATAGCAAGTGAGCTCTGTAACAAATTTTATAGTAATATAAAAATTACAATAAATCTAATACAAACAAATTAAAACTTAACTACATAAAAATCAAAACAATATCAATACAAATTAACTTTAATTATACTGTTAGACTCTTCTCCATACCG